GCCTAATCTGAAACCAAAGTTTCGCATTATCTTGAGAGGATAAAAATAAAACCAAATTCTCCTCTAATATCAGGGAAGCTTGAGCTTTGGAGGCTCAGAAATATCCCAGCAGAAAGTCAAAAGCACCACAGAAATGTATAAACGCTTTCCTGCTTTGAAACCTGTTATCTGCACAGAGGCACACGGTACAGCAGCATAGAGCAGAGGCTGCTTGCTGTCTCTCTCCTCTGTCACTGCCCACACAGCCTCCCTTTTTCACCTTCTGTCAATTGTCTAGTGACCTTCTGTTACTGCAAGTCATTCAGGCTCTCCATCTATGTCTGCACCTTGCAGACAGCCTCTTGTTTCACACCCGGCCCAACCCTTCCCTTCCACCCCATAAAAACTACCTGTCCTGAGTCCCCTTTCTCCTCAGATGACCTATGCACAAAAGGAACCAAGAGCACTAGCCTGGCCAACTGGTCAAACACCGAGAGGTACAAGATTATTTGTGGGATCCCAGGGCCCAGGGCTGCTCTAGGTTAGGAGAGGGAGGTCTGGCCAAGCCATGGACCAGCTGGCTCTCTTGGCTGTATGTAACTGTCAGCTCTCTATCAGGTACTGGTCTGGAATATGAACACACTTGGAAGGCACACAGTGAGGAGAATAAAAACCACAGAGGGGCCACCTCGGGTTTCTCTCCTATATTAGCAGCACACACAAAAAGGACTGTGTGATTGAAAACCATGAATAAAGTAGATTCTTTTCACTGCCAACATCCTCTGTAAACATTCTCCCTTTCCCTGGGCTTCTTACATACGCATTTAATTTGTCACCTGTCAATGGGTGATTGCATTTTTAGAAAGAATTGCTCAGAAAGGACCATGGGAAATACAAAGGAATGGACATTAGTGGCTGAACTTCAGGTATTTGTGGTTATGTCACTGAGAAGTGTATTTTCATGAATGGGGACCTCCCAGCAAGTCTAAAAGCATGCCGCCTAGGTGAGGCAGCAAGCCTTGACCTGTCAGGCGGCATACCTGAGTTTCCACTGAATACAAAGCCAGGAACTACTATTTTGCTACAGCACAGAGGAAAAACACAATTCAGGGTGAGCTTACGACCTCCCCAGGGAGAAAGCTGAAGCCAGTTACCGGGGAGTGTCAAAGAGCAAATATGAGAGCTAATAAGGGTTTACAGTCCACTGCCCCAGTGACCAGTGAGTCAAAATGAAAATAATTCACATGGCACTTAAAAAGCTACTCAACTTTCTTGACTCAAGCCTTTTTTGGAGAATATGAATGTTGGATAAGACCTGGGAAGTTATCTCATTTCCAAAGTCCGCGCGACGTGGTCATTCAACCTCTCTTGATCACACTCAGAAGGGGCATCTTGCCTGGTAAGCCACCTGTTGGACTGGAGGATCATTGATTAAGTAAACAGTCACTGCGACCTGCACCTGTGCCTCTAGTTCGGTAATCTTTATCCTCTACCCTCTAAACATTTTGCTTAAAAACACTGTAAGAGGCGGCGTGGTTCTCAGGGAAGGCCTGAGATAAGTCTGGTAAAAATATTACAATTCCCCCATATCCTCCCCATAGCTGACCCCTCCCATCGCTCACGGCTCCTCCATGGTACTACCTCACTTTCTCTACTTCTCTATTACTGTATTTTTAGTGTCATCTTTTCTTCCCTTAGTTGTTCACTTTTTCTCTCACTCTTTTCTTCTTTACACACTGTAGCTCTATGTGCTACAATACAGAGATACTAAAACAGAGTGAACTGAAACATCATAGCTTGTTTCTTTCTCCTGTGGCAGTCTAGCATGAGTCTTGGCCCGCAAGGCAGCTCTCGTGCTCCACACACTCACTCGGGCACTCAACTTCCTTCACTTTGTAGTGAGGACTCAGGTTCCTTCCCTTTGTAGCTCAGCATGGCCCATGCTGAGCTGCCACTTAACCTTCCAGAATGCAGCACAGTGAGGGAGGAGAGAGCCCGCAGCAGCAGCTCAAGTAGACAGGGGGAGCAGAAATTGCAGGCATTGACTCCACTCACATTCTATTGGTGAGAATTTGGTCACAAGGCCCTGCCTCATTGCCAGGAAGCTGGGAAATGTAGTTTCTAGGGGGACAGACATGCTCCCAGGAAGGAAGAAGAAAGGGACTTTGGAGTTTGGGAGGAACTATTTCCAGTCTTTCTCATATTCTATATCTTTCTTTTTCTTTCTTTTCCCACTTTTCCTTTATTCCCTTGTCCTCTTTCTCTTTTCTCTCTGAACTAACCACACTATGGAAAGTGTATAATTGTGTGTGTACATGTGTGTGTATATGTATGTGTATATATATATATATATATATATATATATATATGCTCTTTCTGTCTACACATGCGTATACGTACATACATATATGCACACATGTCCACACACAGAGGTTGGGCTGAGTTTGAGGGGTACTTGCAGCCTGTGCGGAAGGCACACCACCACGCGGCACCACCCTCAGTTCCTCTCTGGCTCCAGTCCTGCAGTCTTGTCTCACCAGCAGGCCTCCCTTCCTCACAGATCCCAGGTGCAAAGAAAGTGGGCTTATGTCAGCCCTAAGCTCTGTGCTCAGCTGGTGAGTGATTGGGCGCAGACCTCACTGCACCAGGAGGAAGGAACGCGAAGGAGGAGCCCTCTCTGCGCTCACTCTCTCCTTGTCATTGGCTGTGCTCCACCTCCCTGCTCTTCACCCCGACAACAACCAGGCCCAACCACCCGATGCAATCTGCTTGTGTTCTTGGGGGCCTAATCCCTTAGGTCAAATAGGCAGTTCCTACCCCTGAAATATCAGAAAAGAAATAGACGATGGATTGCCAAAGAGAGGGATTACAGAATCCAACTTGGAAATTCAGGCGGTAGGAAATAAGTTAGTCGTGTTCCAGCTATTATGCATGCAACAAATGTCTGAAATATTTTTTCAAATTGTTTTGGAGGATGGTAGGGAATGGAGTACAAAGATGACTTCTTTTTAAATTCTCCAAAATGTCACCTTCATAAAGAATGAACAAATGTCAGGGACAGGCACATCTTGGACTGAACTTCAAGTGAACTGATGGCAGGCCTTCCCATTCTGAAAATATAAAAATTGAAAGCTGCCAGGGCTCAGAGCAGACCATGCATTTGCATCCTATTTAAATAATGTGCAAGAATCTTGGGTTGGATGGGAGTTTTTAGCCTTGTCAGAGAACTTTGGAAGCGCTTAGAGTGTAAGTGCCAAGGATACCCATGGGCCACGTCCCCTGACAGCTTGAAGCCAGCCCAGATGCCCACAGTGAGACACTCCTCCTGCATTCCCATGGAAAACCAGGAGCACCTGTCAGAAACTTTCTCTAGGTGCGTCTGGTCTAGAGAGTGATACTTTCTGGTGCTTGAATTATGAGACAGAATCTCCTCCTACCATCTGCCAGGGCAGGTCGGCTACTGAGAGTCACATTTTTACTGAACAGTTCCTAAAGGCTGAGACCCAGGGCTCCCTCCCTGCACTGATTTTCTAGGCTCACTTACAATGACCCAAAGGGTGAAGCCCTGAGAGAGATCAGGATAAGCCTGGGAAACATCACGGGCGGTTGAGTTGGGAAAATCATGTGCCATAACCATCACACGGCTTATCCTCAGTCAACATCTGCTGAGTGAGTAAAAGGAACTAAAGAGAATCCACTCTTTGAAAGACGGCCCGGTGGATCAGTGACCAGGCTACAGAGAATTCTCCAAAGGCAGATCCTACATACTTGATATATGAAGCAAATTACATTTGTCATTACCAAACCCAATTTATGACTTGATAGGAATAACTGAGATAAGCTTACCTAAAGAACCCAGATAGGGGAAAAGGCAGGTGTATCACTCTCATTCCTGAAGTATATTAAGGACAGTATTGCTTTGTTTTGTTTTGTTCATACCCTGATCACTATATAACGTGAACCTCCTCAGATGATTTAAAAATACTTCCTGATATACTGTCCCCAGAGTTGTTCTGAAGGTTTGGAGAAAATAGGTTTCTGTTAGGAGTGTGCCTGAAACAGGACAAATAGCCTCATCCCTAGAGATAAATTATTTCCATCAATAAATTGACTCTGGTGGCAGATTAAAGATGACTGCAAATTACCATATGCCTTATACCTCCTCTTGAGTGATGGCGTCTATGTCTCCTCCCCTTGAATCTGTGTGGCCTGTGACTACTTTGACCAATAGAGTATGGAGGAAGTGATGCTTCTTCTGAGGACTGGCTGTCTCTGCTTTGGTCTCTGGGACCTGAGTCACCATGCGAATGATCCAACTGTATTGGAGAAATCATGTGAAGATGTCCTGAGACACATGGAGAGGGGCCAGGTGACCCCCGCTGTCCCCTCCAAGGCGCCAGGTATATGAGTGAAGTTGTTGAATGCTCCAGGCAAGCCAAGCTGCCAGCTGAGGACCAACAAGTGACTACAAACAGCATCACATGGAACAGGACAATTGTCCAGCTAAGCCCTCCTCAAAGTCCTGACCCCACTGGTAGCAACTTGAATTATTTTCATATTAATATTACTCAAATAGGAACAAACTTAAAAGTCAGTATACATTCTTTGTTCTTATATGTCCTATAAAAGTAAAGAAAAATTAGACTTTTATATGTTAAGCACTTAGAAAAATCATTACAATTCAAAATTGTCCATTAACACACACAAAAAAAGTTAGAAAAACTGGATATTGTTTTAAATCCACTGTTTTGGAGCAGCTTTTTACGAAGCAATAGATAACTTGAAAAACCACATGTACGATTACTAAATTGAATCAGCAAAAAGTGAGTAAGCTAGGGGCTGGCCCCGTGGCCGAGTGGTTACGTTCGCGCGCTCCGCTGCAGGCGGCCCAGTGTTTCGTCGGTTCGAATCCTGGGCGCGGACATGGCACTGCTCGTCAGACCACGCTGAAGCAGCGTCCCACATGCCACAACTAGAGGAACCCACAACGAAGAATACACAACTATGTACCGGGGGGCTTTGGGGAGAAAAAGGAAAAAATAAAATCTTTAAAAAAAAAAATTATAAAAAAAAGTGAGTAAGCTATAAATCCCCCACGGTCGTAGGGACCATATTTTTCTAAGTTCAGAGCAGGGGGATGATCTGAGGAATTTGGGAGAGCCAGAGAAAACTGTCCCCGAAAATCAGGGATGTTGAATCACCAAGGCTAAAAGAAAGAGCATTCAGTTACAAATCCGAGAGCAGCTCTAGGTCCTGCCAAGTGAGTCCTCCGTGGCTGCAGACAGCACAATCCTTCACCCACACCGTGAACTCCCCAGAGCCTCAGGCGTCCGTGCCTTCCTTCTTTAAGACGCAGCCAGTCAGGATCTCCTCCCCTGCTTCTGGGGGGAGGGGCCGTGGAGGCTAGCCCTAGCCAGCCTTCTGAGTGACAAGCCAGCAGCCATATTAGAGTGTGGGGACCGGCTGTGGAAGGCTGTTTGATCAGAGTGGAATTATAGCAGTTCATTTTCTAAAGTGCCGGGAGACCCGGGGATGAACCTGCAGGGAGAAGGGAAAACCACAAGTGCAGCACCTCACAGAGATGCAATTCATCACCGGCATGACAGGTCTGTCAACAAGAGGGGCTCTCCTTCTCCACTGATACACAAAAGCAATCTCGTGGCCTCTGTGTTGCAGCAGGAGGGCCACTGAACTCCCTCGGACCCCGTGGCTGTCTGCAGGGAGCCCTTTCCCAGGAGTCAAGGGGTGAATGCATTAGCAGGGGGTGCAGAGCAGAGGCATAATGGGCACTTCAATGTCTACGCCCCGCTATTTCCTCCAGTTAAGCATAGAGATCGTTTCAAGTGAGGGTAGTTAGAAGCCAGAGCGAGACCCAATTTCGTTTCTTGTGTTTTTCTAATGAGACGTAACTTAGAAATAGTCTCAGAAATAAGAGGCATAGTTTTGTTTGCTGGTAACCTGAGGCTGGTGCTGATAGCTGGGGTAAGAAATGAGGCAAAGTGGTCGGCGCCTTCCAGAACACTGAGGCACAGGTGCCCCAGCTCAGCCTCCTCCCTCCCTCCCTCGTGAGCCCACAGTGCGCCATCTTGTATTCATTTATCCCTCCTTTCGTCCCTCCCATTACCGGCTTCCAGCTGGTTCTTTGAGCACATTCTCCTCCTTCTCAGACTCAGTTACACAAGGTGGAGAATAGCGCAGACCCCTCTTCCCAGCTCCTAGGTTCTAACCAGAGGGGTGAAGGTAACCAGAATTCCCTGCTGGGACACAGAGAGCTGTCCCAAAGAGCTGGCTGAGCCTCAGATCTGATCTGACTCACGCTTACTCTGGCAGAGTCCATTAAAAGAGCAACCACATGTTCTTCTTCAGCTTTTCCTGCCTAAAATGTACACTTGGGGATTCTAGGAAATTTCGGACAAGCACACTGCCTTGACTGCCAAGTTTTCCAGAGGTATCCGAAATTTCTGTTTTTCTTTCCCACCTTCCCTTGCCATCCCTGGCCACACACCCACTGTTGTTCAGAAAGCCTTTGATACAGCAACCCTCTCAGCGTTCCGTAGGTCACCTGCGGCCGCCCCCACCCCCACCCCCCCTCCCCCCCCCGCAGGGTCTGCGCCGCGTGGAGGCAGCGCCCCCTCTAGTGGCCAGCGCCTTGAGCCTCCAACGCTTGCTGCCCAAGGCGGCTGGAGAGAACACGCTAAATCGTTTTAGGGGTTAACCCAGACCCCGGGATCTAAATAAGAAAAACCATTTCCTTTGGGTCTTTTGAACAGAAATCCTTTCTCTATCCATTGTAAAGGATGGCCTGGGATCACTCCAGCAAATGAGCTCCCACCTCCCCTGCCTTCCCCTCTGCCCCTCAGTATCCGGTCAACACAGGAAGAGAGAGAGCTGGTGAATTATTACTCTGTCTGGGCCTCAGTATCTCCATCTTTCATATGGGAAAAATGCTCCTTTGTGCTGCCATCACGTGGAAAAGCCTCTCATAGGGAGCTGTGCTCTCCTTCTGATTCCTCCTCCATGTTTTCTAACAGCTCCTGTGTCCCCTTCTTCAGTGACGTCATTCTCTGCTTAAAATTCTCCTGTAACAGGAACAAAATTCTGACATTGCAAGTCTTCATCCCTTCCTTGACCCACTCCTTACCAGGACGACTGGGCTTCCGGGAGGGCGGGTCAAGAGAACTTTCAAGGAAGTTTTCTGTGTGTTGTTTGACAAAATTGTACCCCACTTCCCCCAGCCCAGCTCCTGGGTCCTAGCCAGGTGGGTAAAGAGTGGCTTGAGTTCCTGCTGGGTGTGGGGGTCATAAGTAGGCCCAGACACATTTGGGTTTGTTCTTCACCTGTTTCCCTCTGCCTCTAGAGAGAAGTTGGACACTTCAGCGTGCCCCCTGCCGTCCCAAGGTCTGCACCAGCCTCCTCTCTCCAGGGCCTTCTCTTCCCTGCACACGCAGAGCTGCAGGAAGATTCCTGAGGAAGGGAGGCGCTTCTCTACTCCGCCCAGTTCCACATCTGTGGCCTCTTGAACTCGTCCCCAGGCTCTCTCCTGCTTCTCACTAGTGCTCCCATGGTGCCACCTTGGTCCCCGAATCTTCCTTGCACCGTCACACCAGCTGCAGCTCCTGTCATGTACACACACTGCCACAGTACTCACCACCCTTTGTTGTAACTGCCTGAGTATCTATCTGTCTGCTGAGGCATGTGTGGAAAATGTCACAGATTCACAGGGCAGGTAGGAACCCCACAAACTCTCTTAGCCCAGCCTGCTCATTTCCTGGTAGATTCAGTCATTTTCTTTGAAGAACTTACAATGCAAGTTGCACATCTGCAACTTCCTACCATCACACACTGTATGTCTCATAATCCTCCAACCTCCAAAATCTCTTAATATTCAGCCTTAAGTCATATCATTTCAAAAGAACACCATTATTCGGGAATAAAGGTATTTTGTAGTGTTGAAGATCACAATTCAGCTCTATTCTTCCTACCCTCAGGCCTTCTGTTATTCAGACAAAATGATCTTAATTCCTTGGAACTCTTCTTTGGAGATATAAAAATTGGAGACATCTTGATAGATTTTTTTTTTTAATTGGAGATTTTTGCCTAAGAATATTCTGCCCTCAAAAATTTTTTTTGGCATTTTCCCACGAGATTCATCTAGAGAATATAATTGTTTAATAAATGTGAGCAATGGAGATAATCCTCAGGCTCAACTCCTTGGTGTGGATAGAGGAACGAGGAGCGAGAGCAGGGTTCTTTCCTCTTGGTGACACAGAAGAAAAGTCGGTGAGAGAAAGGAATTTGATTGACACATTTCTGGGAATGATCTGCCATCCTCTGTGCTGACTTTTTGGGTCCCACTTATTCCAGCTTTCAATGATCAAGGTAACAGCTCAACTGTGTACTGGATCATGGCAACGAGGAAATGGGTCTAACCTGGCTAGTAATCAGCCCAGCTGAGTCGACACGCATGGAATGGCATTCAGTTCTCCTCCTTACAAAGTTGTGTGTCTAGTGAGCGAGGGTTACAACTGAAAGCAGCCATGTTATATCACTCACTAGATTCAGCAAAAAGCAGCATGATGACTGAAAAGGTCACAAACCTGAGTCTTGGCCCTGGTTGAGTCCCTCCCACTACAAATGACCAGCAGGAGGACTCTCTAAGGAAGAACCTTGTAACAGATTTCTGTACAACAGCATCGAGATGCTATAAGGAGAAGTTAGATATCGATGGAAGTAACCTGATCCCCATCCCTGGAAGAAACCTCCTTGAATGCTGCTTGTCACAGAACCTGGTAAATATTTTCAGGCTGCAGCATTTGCGGTTGGGAAAGTCAAGAAGCAAAGATTCCTCGTTCTGGCCCATTGAAAAATAAGTAAAGTATGAAATAGATGGGTGGCCTCATCACATATACGTTCTATAACCAAGATTTTGGAGTTGAAAACAGTGGAGACAACATCATAAAAGTTACTTCAGTGAAATGTAAATGTGCTTCCTTGGTTCATACAGACGCATGCATGCACACAGACACACGCAGGGCTGGAATGAGTCAAAGGCTTTGTTGTCAAAATCAAGAGAGTGTGTGGTGCTCAGTGGAGCCAAGCAAATCCAGATCAGAGCCGACGCTGTCCTGAGGGCCACCCTGGAAACTGAGAAGCAGAAGACAAGCTCCAGAGCCTGCTGTTTGGATTTACTGAGCTATTTGCCCGGAGGAAGACTTACATTCTTGAGGCATGTGCTTTCTTGCATCTTTCCTCACTCAAGCAGTCTCTTCTGCCTAGAGGGAGGATAAGACTTCACAGGAGGAGACTGACAATTCCAAGGGTTCGGCGCGCAGATTCCTTCCATGAGGTGTAAATACACATGGGCTGTACAGAGTAAGAATCCCCCAGCTAACAGCAGGATTTTTTTTTTTCTGACCTTTTGTCTTCATTCAGGCAGGTATTTAGAACTTCAGTCATTACAGATGGCAAATATTTGTCTAGACTTTTCTTTCTTTGTATGAAAATAGTTTCTTTTGTTAGTTATTCCAGGATTTTACATAGTATTTTCCCCACTGGAGAAAAATCAATGACACATATGCAAATGAAACCCTCATATTCTCTCTGTCTCTCTGTCTCTCTCTCTCTCTCTCTCTCTCACACACACACACATACACAACAGCACTGGCTTCTAGTTCATTTGGCCAGCCAGGGAAGCTGGAGTGTGCTTTCTTTGGATGTCCCCAACTGAGCTGGAAGGGAGTGGATTGTCTACCAGGCAATACTTTATTCAAATTGATTCAGCCGTTAATTGCTCTGTGGTTTCTGACTAATTTCTTCCTTTCCTTTGGTGCAGTGCATCCTCTCAAGGAAAGAGAGGTTTGAGGGTTACTTAGCAGCTTCACAAATTCCATTTGCTTAAAAATGTGGAGACACCACCTAGATTCCAAAAAATGAAAGAGAGTTACAAATTCTATCGCTCCAGGGAAGTGCAGCCATCCAGGTTCGCACATTCCATCCAAGAACTTCGGGCTGAGCCAGTTCTCCAGTCAGATAAAGGAACAAAGCCTCTCGTTTGGGCACCCAGATACCTGATTTAAAGGACTCAGGGGAGAGTATATCAGAGCGGGAACAGAGGAAGTCTACAGACATATTGGAGACTGACTCCCTGATTCCGAGCTCTGCTTTTGAATGTGTTGGGGTCCCTTATAAAAGTATAGGTTCTGGGTAAATTCTGAACCAAACCTAAGATAGCTGTGGTTGACTGCAGCTATATTCACTAGTTAATCTCCAGCGTGGGACAGGATGATCATATCTATATTCCATTGGTTAATATTAACATTAGCTGCTAATATCAATGATATCTGACTCTATAGATTTGCAACTCATTTAGATTAACATGCAAATTGTCTAACTACTACAATATTTATTGAGTATTTATATGTAGCATTATAAGACTACGTATTTGGCTTGCATGATCTTGTTTAATTCTCCCAAAATCTCTATAAGGTAGGCACTGATATTTTCATTTCCTAACTGAGGCTTCAAGAGGTTAAGTAATTGGCCAGGGTCACCCACAGCTGGTTTCAAACCCGAGCGGTGTGACTCCACAGCAGAGCCTGATTCCTGCACTTTAAGCTAAACTGACATTTGTCACTTAGAACGTATGGCAACAATTCTTAAGGTAACTATGCCTGCCTCTCCTATGGCTCTGATTAGGCTGCTAGCTTTTCTAAGGATACAAGTCAGCTTCTCATTTTCTCCCATTTTCCTCAAAATATTCAGCACAGAGCTGTGTACAGAATAAGCTAAATCACTTTGACTCATTCACACACTCAGGGAACTTGGCCAACAATGAACTCTTCTGCCATCTTGCTAAGTGTTGGCAGTTCTGTTTCACCCTCAATTGCTTCTTAAGGCTTTAAAATGCTAGAAAGAGGTTTGGAAACAGCATTATGTGTTGATAATTATTTTTCCTGGATTGATGATAATACTGAAGAAGAATGAGGTCACGGTGAATTGCTCAGTGAGAGAAAAACAGCAAGCAGAAGCTTCTTATAAATAGAGAAAAAAGAAAGGGGAAAGTGGAAGATGAGAAGGCAGGATAATTGAAGCAAACCATTGACAGAGAAGGATGGTTCGAGAATTGTCCAACCATTGTATGTCTATATTGACACTTGAAGCGTTTGATACACAGCCCTATGAAGTTTTATTTGGATAATTTGAGCTTACAGCAACTTGGCTCTGAATCTAAGCAAAGGAATAAAAGTGTAGCAAACAAATTCAAGAAATCTGGGGAGAGAACTATGGGGTCAGGGAGTGGTTCATGTAAGCTTACAGCAGAGGCAAGCGAGATGGGTTTGCCATGCAGCCCCTCCTGCTCTCCCATAAGGACCTCCTTTTCTTCCTGGGGACAGGATAGTTTTTCTGCACTTTGCTGTCACTCTGCTTGGCCGTATTTTCTCAAAAACATTAAATGACAGCAGTCACAAACATATAAATGTCAATTAGACAGTCAATAAATATTTATTGAGTACCTGCTTTCTTTTAGCATGGGAAGATCTATAAGATATGTGTAATGGTGACCTCCATATAATTTAGCTGGAAAGACCCCAAAACAAGGATGGCAAATACATGATACATATACTGCCCTTGCCTCTGTTTGTCCTCGTGGAAGATGCCTTAAATCAATCATGGTGCACATTCTCACCAAATTAGGATGCTGCCTCTGGATGCTTCTCATCACAGTACTCAATATAACCCTACCCATTATTCAGAGTTGTCTCAAGAAAGGAAACCTAGTTCACATCTTGCCCTGGACTGTCACATGTCACATGTAGAACAACAATCTAATACAGTGAATGTTTCCGTGATAAATGACACGGTATGATGAAGCATTCAGAGGACACGGAGATTCCCCAGGGCCGTAGCACGTGGATATCTTGAACAACAAAGTGGGACTTGAGCTCGATGTCAGAGGATGGGTGTAACTGAGATTGACATAGGAAAAGGAGCACTTTCCCAGTGGCAAGAACATAGACAAAGGTACCGTAGTGACAGAGCAGTCCCAACATTCACAGAAGACAGGTAGGACTGGGAGAATAACTTACTCATTCACAATTATCTGACAGAGGACTAAGGGGTCCAGCCTTGGTGGGTGCTGAAAGGGGAGACAGCTGACTGCCTAGCAACTATCGCTAAACAATATGAACCAAGGAGAGGCAGGAGGAAAGGCTAGTGGCCAGGAAATGTAGTCAGATATCAAAGCAGAGCTGAAGGCCACCAGCCTGGAGGACTGCTAGAAGTGACGAACAGAAATGTAAGCTTCCAAAAATAAAATATGGGAAACTTCTTCACAGTGCTGCATCTTCAGCAGAAAATGTGCAGAGAAGGGTAAGAGATCACAGGAAAATTAAAATGCCTTATGGTTTTCCATCGTGGAGAAGATAAAGCAGGTGAGGGTAGAGTGAAAGGTATTTACACGTGTTCAGGAGGCGGCCTGGAACCAGGTGTTTTAATTTCCACTGAGGGCGGAATAGAAAGGGTTATCCTATAGCAAGAGAGATCTAGGAAACACGCAAGAGGCACTTGATCGAGAGTTGTTGGAGACTGGTTTGGATCATCAAGAATGATATGACATCTCTTTCACTGGATGTCTTCAAGAACAAGAGAAGTGCTCATAAATTTGGTCTATGTTATATACACTTCTACCTGGAGACAGACCATAAACTAAATAGTCCTGAAAGCCCATTCCAGGCAGGATACTAAAGCTGTAAACAGCGTACAATCCTAGACTAGCTAAGCAAGGCAGTGTCTTGAAGAAGCTCCTTCCACCCACTGTTCGGCTGTCTTACATTCTGTCCATCCTGCCTCCCTTACCTCCAGTTGTAACCACACTACTGCTCATATAAAGTCAACAAGAACAGGCATAACCAACTTACTGACACCGGATATTTCCCAAACTCTCTTCCTTGGCAT